GGGCCCCGGGGGGCCCTGCCAGTGCGGCGGGGAGGCGGCCGGCGGCACCGGTGGCACCGGCAGACGCGGTCCCCAGGGCAGAGCGGGGCTGGGCGGTAACGTGGCAATGGGGCTGCAACGGAGGATGCTATGGGGCTGCAAAGGGCGGCAGTTTGGGGTTGCAAAAGGTGATGGTCTGGGGCTGCAAAGAGTAAAGGTGTGGGGCTGCAGAGGGCAATGGTTTGGGCTTGCGAAAGGTGATGGTTTGGGGCTGCAAAGGGCGATGGTTTGGGGCTGCAAGAGGTGATGGTTTGGGGCTGTAAAGGCTGATGCTGTGGGGCTGCAAAGGATGATGCTGTGCACGGATGCCCCTCAGCATCTCTGCCTGGCCCCGCACAGCCCCCCAGCTCCCTGCTCACCTGGCGGAGGCTGGGACAGGCAAACTCCTCTTCCAGGGGCTGCGAGCTGGGGGGAGAGGACGGAGCCATCAGGAGAGTCCCTGGCCCTGCCCGGACCCCTGCCCACACCCCCCAGCCTCACACGCAGCCGGGTCCGGCCTTACCTGCTGCTGCGGGGCGGGGGGCTGAGGGATGCCGGGCTGGAGTAGGAGGGTCTCAGGGCGCCCTGGCTCTCTTCCTGCATCCGCAGCGTGTCCTGGGGATGGGAGCGAGACAAAAATCAGCCCTGGGTGGGGGCCGGGGTGTGCAGGGGCTGCCCGGGGCTCACCTGGAAGCGTGTGGCCAGCCTCTCCGGTGAGGCGTCCCCGTTGGCGTGGCTGGGAGGTGGCACCGGGGACCTGGAGACCAAGGGAGAGTGGGGGGTCCTGCATCTGCCCCAGAAGCATGCAGCCCCTCCGCACCCCTGGCACGGCCATTCCCCTGCGGCCCCTTGGGGAGGCGGCGAGAGGCAGCAGCCCCAGGCCCCCAACTGGGACCAGTTGGCCAGGTAATGGCTGCCAGGGCTATCCGGCCTCGTTACCACCTGACTCTTTAATTACAGAGCCGGGACAGGCTCCTGCGGGGATGGCACAGCCCCAAGAGTCGCCGGAGGGGAAAAACAACCGGCGCACACGTGGTTGGGGACCCCAGCCCGCGCGGGGACGCCGCTTCGCTGGGGCTGGGGACCCAGGCGTCCGGGCTGTCACCCCCCCCATCCCGGCACCCACCTCTCCACCTGCAGCCGGAGCTGCCCAGGGCTCTGCTTGATCTTATTCTGCGCCTCCACGTTGAGCATCTCAGCTGCGCTCTCCCCGTTGATGGCGACGATGACGTCCCCTGGACGGAGGTCGCCCGCGGCCGCCTTCCCATGCTCCGTCACCTCCATGGAGAAGGGGACATGGGGACAGCCCCGGTGTTATCTTGAAGGCACTGGGGACAGAGAGCCCCCCGCCAGCCGTCCCTCGGCCCCGCGCGTGCCGGTGGGAAGCAGCCTTTAATTGCACCATCCCCACGTGCAGCCCTCGTGCACGGCTGAGGTCCCGGCACATTGGGTACCAGTCCCTGAATCCCACCCCGCCGGGATGCTCCCACCCACCGGGGTCCCCGCGGCCCTGCCAAAACAGCGCCAGTCCCTCTGCCGGGGTGTGCACCAGCCAGGGGGGACCAAGGCCGCGGCAACAACAGCCGGAAAGCCGGCACAGCCCTGTCCAGCCCAGGAGCGGCACGAGCCCCCGCGCCGTCATCGCCCGCCATGGGGCCATCGTCGCCCGCCATGGAGCCGTTCCCACGGAGCAGGATCCCTCAAGGACAGTAAACAGGATCCGCTCCCTGGAGCAGCCCGGCACGTCACCCGCCCTGGCAGCCCTCCTTGGGGTGAGGGGACGCGCGGGGGGTCCTACCTTGGAGACGGTGATGGGTTTGCCAAAGTCCCTTCCCCCGGTGATGCGGAAGCCCCAAGGGGCCGGGCCGGCCAGGGTCACCGTCACCGGCATGGCAGCGGGCGGCTCTGGGCAGGCAGGGAGCCGCGGCGTCAGGAAACCCCGGGGCGCCGAGGGGACGAGGCAGAGGAGAGCCCTCTCCTCCCTCCGCGGGGCACAGCCCGGCAGACCACCCGCCGCAGGCCTCCCCCTGTCCTTGTCCCCGCAAGGGTCCCCAACACGGGGCTGATGGAGACCGTCAGCGCCTTCCTTCCGGGGAGGGGACCCGTGTCCTCACGCCGTCGCAGGGTGCCGGCAGCCACCGCTGCTTCCTCTTGCCTCCCTGGTGCCCCCGGCCGAGGCTGGCGGCCTCCTCCCCTGCTGAGCCCCCGTGGGGACGAGGGGATCCCGGGCACCCACCGCCGGCTGCGGCGGGGGCGCCGGGGGGGCAGGGCAGGCGGGGCCGC